TTTTGGTGCAATTGGAGTCCAATATCCCGACATAAAATGCGGATTCAAAACCGTAGAAAAGAAATTGAAAATGTAGGGAAGTTTAGGGGATGTTTTCTTCGTGTTTGAGTTTTTAGTTTTCAGTTTTGAATTCATTTTAGGTTTTGTATTTTGAAGCCATGTTTGAGCCAAATTATTGTAGAATGAGAATGAAAAATATAGTCGTTATTGGGGTCCACATAAGAGATAGAAAATTTAAATTTAAATATTGAAGTGATAGATAACGGTCATATTTTTCATTTTAATGAGATAATAATGTAGATCAAACGGGGGTTGAGTGTTCATTTTAAGATTGTTGAATATGTGTTATTTTTGTCATTTTGAAATTTTTTTTCGAAAATAAAAAAAATGAAAACGTGTTCTCTCTCTCTCTCTCTCTCTCTCTCTCTCTCTCTCTCTCTCTCTTCATTTCATCGATGTCTTCTCTCTCTCCGGCGTTCCTTGCGATTGTCGGCGCTCCCGACCTGCTCTTCCGGCGATCTCCCTGCTAGCGTGGTCTCTGCGACGCTGTTGTTCTCTGTGCTTCTTCGTCCTTTTTTTATTTGATGGTTGTTTTGGGTGCGGTGGTGGTGTGCGGGGGTTGGGTGCGTGGTATGCGATCTACAGATTGTGGCAGTGGTGGTTCTGCAGCGATTTTGACGATTTTTGTGGTGTGGATCTTGAGGTTGTGTGGTAGCGATTTTTGTGGTGGTGGCTGTGGTGGCGGATATGACGGTTGTGTGGTGGTGTGGTGCAGGCGGTGGTGGTTTGGGTGATGTTGTGGCGGTGGCGGCAACAACGACGGTGGTTTTTGTGGTGGTGTGGTGTGGTGTGGTGTAGGCCGCGATGGTGGCGGCAGCAGTGTGGTGCAACGGCGTTGGTGGTGGTTGAGGTGACGTTAAACTGAAAAAACCTAAAACGCGTTTTGAAAATTTTAGTTTGGTTTTAATTGAAAACACCAAAAATAACATTTTTGTCGTTTTCGATTTTCTTTGTAAATTTTATACTCGTTTTCGAAAATTCGTTTTTGAAAATAGGTAAGTAAGCATATTTTCACCATTTTGAAAAATCAAAAACAAAAAAGGGGCATAAAAAGCCAAAGAGAACAACCCCTTAATATTCACTGCAAAACAAATTCCCATCACATGATTGTCATTTAGTCGAAGAAGTTATTGAAGTAAGTTTTGTTGGCTAATTAGGATAGCTGTAGATAATGCATGTATCTTTCTTTGCTTGTGAATTGCTTGCTATGACATTATCTCTTGCTCTTTGATTTTGTTTGCAAAGGAGATTATGGAATTTTAAATGAGGTTCATAGAAATTCGCAGGACAAATTACTTTGAGAATACCATTAATTATTTTTAACTTTTCTATCATTGCACGTGGTGATGTAACTTAGCAACTTTCTTTTACATTTCTATAATAAGTGGTTTATGTTTTATAATTAAAAAAATAAAGAATGAGATCAATAGATTTGAAACCCAAAAAACAATTAAGGGTTTAAATCTTTTTTTTTTTTTTTTTAATAACCGTGGATGTCAGGCCTTGGGTTTGCTCCCCAATGGTCATCAGTTCGAGTCCCTTCAGGGCCACTGAGGTNAAGAGCAGTTATTATGATAGTACAAGCTTTTCCCTCAAAATTGCTTGCTATGACATTATCTCTTGCTCTTTGATTTTTGATTTTGTCTGCAAAGGAGATTATGGAATTTTAAATGAGGTTCATAGAAATTCGCAGGACAAATTACTTTGAGAATACCCATTAATTATTTTTAACTTTTCTATCATAGCATGTGGTGATGTAACTTAGCAACTTTCTTTTACATTTCTATAATAAGTGGTTTATGTTTTATAATTAAAAAAATAAATCATAATGTTACTTAACCATGCTATCATCTTAATGTTAGTTTCATTATTATAGAAAAGAAGTTCCATAAGTTGGGGAATATTAGAAATTTCGTATACTTTATTCGTGACTATTTATAATTATCATGAAATTAATGTTTTGAGCAACGTATTTAGATTAAATTTAAAAATTGCAAATGAAATACAAAAGATCAATTGGTCCATCTGTTCAAAAGTGAAACTAAAATTTAATATTGAAAATTTATATAACCAATTGTTATGTATTTATTCCTTAATATTATGAAAATAATATTGTGTAACTGCGTTTAAGGAAAATTTGCAGTTCTATGTACGGAGAATAAGACTTTTAATGTTTGGAATAGTGTTTTTTTTTAGAATGAATGGTTGAAAAAGAAGGAAATTTTTTCGATCTACATGTAATATTATTTTATGAAAAATTGTGTGGTTGAAAATAAGATAAAGAAGAAAAAATGAGAATGAGAAGGGGGCCAAACAAGGGATATATTTGCGTAATTGATGGAACCAAATTATTATCCAAGAACGGCATGAATAAAATATAGTTCATGTTGGATATATTAAATAGGGGTGAATACGGTTCGATTTGGATGATTTGTGATAAATTTTCAAATCAAACCACTACAATTTCTAAACCAAACCATTTTTTTCGATTTGGTTTGATTTAAAACCATGATTTAACAAATAAAAAATTAATAGAATAAGTTAAATTATAAATATTAGTATAAAATTTTACGTTAAAACATAAATAATATCATTAAAAATATTACAAATTAAAGTTCTATAACTCTAATCATTATGATTCAGTTCAACGAAAACAAATTTTTTTGCAGTACGATATTTTAGCAATATTTTTATATCAAAGTGAATATTCCTATTTAAAATAAGTCCCCGTTTGGTTTGTGTTAAAATCAAATTAAAATTTCAAAGTGAAAATTTTAACCACATATTTTATCAATTTTTAACTAATAAATTGATTTTAATCTACACTAAAAAGGGACTAAACAAAATTGATTAAAAAAAAATATCCCCAGAAAATCTAAACTTTGAACAAAGTTGAAATGTCATCTCCTTATTTACAGTATTGGTCTCACGTTAAAATGAACTGAAAATTTATGACGTACGAGAGTTGTAAGAAACCATACGACTTTAACAATATTGAAAGTTTGAGACATGCCTTGTAGAGTCACAGAATATAAAGATTTACATAAATTTTGTTTCCATGTTAATCACGAAGTAATAGTTCTCGTGTTTCTTTATACAAGTCAACCAAATGAGAAAGAAAGGAATAAATCTGCAGGTACGCAATAAATATGTGAAATTATCCTGTACTTATAGCCTTGTTCGTGAGAAAGACTGTAACAAGTTGAACTGATCGCCCACAATTTTAACATATTCAAGACAATTATCCAGCAAAACTGAAGCATTAGGAAGCAAAAGAAAGATCATATTCAAGACTATGCACTACCCTTAAGGAGTCACATTCCATAACAGCAATCTGATAGCCACGGTTCCTGGCCAAAATCAGAGCCTTCCCGAACTGCCGTTGCCTTGGCATCTTCAGCTGCGAGTGCCCAATAACCTTCTTCCCTTACAATCGCCGTAACCACGCTCAAACCTGTCCCCAATGACCACCCGTGTTGTAGAAGCCCATTCCAGTTTCCACACCTGAGGCATCAAGCAATGTCCCCGAGAACATGGTCGTCCCTTAGCCCCTGACTATGTACAAACCTATTCCTTTCAACTAAAATTTCCCACAATATACATCTAACACGCCCCAGTTCTCCCAGCCTACAAGCTTTGGCCAGCCAAAACAAAACATCACCCACTTCAGCATTCCAGTAAGAAAGGTTTCACAGTTCTCCACCACCCCAAGGCCTGCCACACGGAGACTGGCTAGACAAGATAAAAGAGCATGCAAGGAAACACTTTTGGAACCAATAAATAACAAATCCAACTAGTCTTGCAGTCTCTGTGCCTTTTCTGATGCCAATTAGGCTAGCAATCGTCATGACGAACCTCAACATCTGCTGATATTGTGTTCTTAGGAGGTAATATCATCTCGTGGTCCTCACGGAAACAAAATATTGTTGCATGTTCATCATCCGAGGCCAAAATTGAGCTGTGGCCACCTTCACTGTAGCTGAATTAGCTTAGATTTCATCTCTTCTACTGGTCTTCGTCTTCATCTTCATTGTCAGTTTCGACAAAGCAGCTGAGATCCCAGTCAGGGTGTTCCTGCTCGATTGCATCATATAGAGCATGAGCCCCTGCCTGGAACAAATTTTCTCTCAGGACCTCGAACTCCTCCGAGTTCTTGAATGCTTTAACTGCCATTGACGCCTCGGTTTCCTTGGTAGCTACCTCAGCCTTGAGCTTCTCCACCTCGGCGCCTAGGCCCTTCAGTTTCTTCAGCTCCTCCTGCAGCTTAGCATTCTCCTGCCAGGCTCGGCTGGCACTCCTAGAGGTATTCGAGTAATTCCTGCAAAGGGCAGCTATCTCAATTTGAGCATCATTCATCTCTTCCCTTATTTTCTCCTTTTCCCTGCTAATGATAGCTAATTCTGTTTGAGCACCACTCAGTTCTTCCCAGCTCTTCTCCTTCTCCCTACAAAGGACAACTATCTCTTTCTGAGCATCGTCCAATGCTTCCCTGGTCTTCTCCTTCTCCCTGCGAAGGACAACTATCTCGGTTTGAGCATCATCCAGCTCCTGCCTTGTCTTTTCCTTTTCCCTGTGAAGGTCAGCTATTTCTTTTCGAGCATCGTTCAGCTCTTCCCTGGTCTTTTGGTTGGCTTCGTTCAGGTCAACCATTCGATGAGCGTGCTCTGCCATAAAGACGGCAGCCTTCATCAAATGGTACACAGAGGAATTCAGTACCTCCCTATCACTCTCGCTCACCAGCCTTTCAACCTCTCTGATGCCGTTATATTTATACATCGTGTCAACGGTGGAGGCAAAGTAGGCTGAAAGCATGTTCAAGACCTCTTGTGAAAGATCCTCCTCATCATGGTCGAATGCTAGTTTCTTCATCATTTCCGTCTTCTGTTTCTTAGAGGGGGGAGCGTAACAGGAAGGAGTATCTACCCTCAACTTTTCGGCAGGCTTGAGACTAGAGGAGCACATCTTGGTTGGTTCCACGGCTGATGCCTCTGCTGCATTGGCCTTGCCCAGCCTCGGAGCATGTACAAGATTTTTTGATCCTGTATCAAGAACACATTTTAGAACACAAAGCTCCTGTTTGGTTCGGCTAAAAAAGTTTATTATAATTTAAATTAAAATCGACAATTAATTTTAATCACAGATTTAACAAGACTCACAATTTTTCGACCGAAAAATTTGATTTTTATCTAAATCAAACAAGGGCATAACTTGTTCAAAAGAAAAAAGGGGCATACCAAATACCAGTGTTCCTTTCTAACATCTTATCTTCATACAAACCGTCAAGAACATGAACTTACAATATTTTCTTTCCAAATTAATCCAATTAAAAGAGGTGCTGAGGTTAAGATTTAAGAGGCTAAAAATAGAGAGTTTAAGATAGAACATTAATTTCATTTTGAATGCAACTACAGTTTTCACAAGTTTGCTTGCAAAAGTAATGGTGACATTAATTTTTAAGAAACATATAGCTCTAGTAGCTAGTGTTACGCGTCAATTTACGAGACAGGTCACATGGCAACCAGCTAAGCAAGATGCCACTTAAGGTCAGTTTTTCACTTCGGCATCACCTCTTCCACATGTGCCCCACCAAGACAATGAAGCCATGCCCATAGACACCTCGCTGGAAGTGTTATTATCCAAAGCGAGGCATCATCCTTTTGATGCAGTACAATTCCAAGGCAATCAGCGGATGACATCTTCTACGAAGGGCTTCGACCACGGGCATTGACTAGCCAGTCACTGTACACTTGACAGCTCCATAGCAACGGCGTTCGTCAAACAACTTTTCAGCCTACACAAACTAGGATGGAGGCAAGGGTGGTTGCAGTCCTAGGACAACTATTGATTGGCATAGTTGACATGGTCCAGCTTGACAAGTGGGGCGTTGGTACGAAGTCACTTGTTAAGCATCCAAGTATATTTTCCATCTATAAATACTTATAAAAGTGTCATTCAAAGGTAATGCGAAACTTACTCTCACAACACTCTAACCTGAATACATAGACTCTCCAAACGGAGTTTGCCCTCGAGGTTCGGCGTAAACTCTGCACCCAGCACTACACATTCCAATCATTGTGTCTCCCCCACACCAAATATCTCCAACGCTGTCTAATTTGAGTTTCAGAGTTTCATAACTGTTGAACCCCTCATCGGAGTTATAGTCACGTGCAATCTAATGCTTGTGTAACATAAACATGATCGGATATGAGCTAGAATCTATTGCCAGCTGGATTCGATAGTTTTGAAGTTCAAGAGCTAGATTTGTTGATTTCCTTATGGTGGAAGCATTACTCCTTTCTTGCTTAAGATTGGCAACTAAAGTACATAATGGAAGTCAATATTAAATAGACTTTTGATATACTTAGGAAGGTAACTCCAATGCTAACCAAGCCTAAGAAGTTAGACGTTGCGTTTATCATTTTTTTTTCATGCCTAAATCCTAATAATAAACACTATTCATGACTAAAAATGGCTTGGTAAATTTAGATCAGCTTCATAGAATTTTTGGTAGAGTGATTGCGGGAATTTAGGAAAATGAAAGGCTATTTCTATTGTTTAGAATTTTTGTGTATTGGAGAGAATACATCTTTTTATGTCCTTTTGAGGGGATCATGAACCCTTGTTTACAGATGTTTCCTTTTGAAGCTAATTGGCTGCCCACTATCACATTTGCTACAGTGCTGACCTCAGATTGTGTGCAACCGCCCAATTTTAGGGTACCTGAATGACTGCTCATGTTGGCAAAGCAGGCATACCCCTAGCTCCTAGTTGTGATACGAAATGATTGTCTAGCTATTAGGCCTCATCGTTACAACTTCTTGATTGGTGGAAACGGAGGTGCTTACCTCAAAGGCACCAGTTGTTAACTAGGGATTGGTGGTGTTCAGGGTGATGACATCATTGTCGAAAATCTCAACACCTTATTCAGAGTGCAATTATGATGTTTCTTAATGACGGCAGGTGTTGGTAGACCTGTTTTGGAGAGCTGGTGGGATGACCTCTAACATTTGTGATCGTTGAGGCATGACTTAGTTTTTTCTGAAGTGGGTCCAAGGTGTTTATTAAAAGCTCGGTCCCCAACAAACCCAAATGTAGATTAGGACAAGAGTGAGGTAGTCTCAGCTGAGCTGGCAGTCGCAGTGTGAGGGTTCGATTCCTGCCTCTTACAAGGTATGAAATTGGACTCTTTGTGGGCACCAGTATGACAGTTCTTGTACCCTGACATGCTGAGACACATCTAGCGATTTTCCTCCTCCATAATGCTCTAGGGGCGGGACGGTGAGGGCCCTCAAGTTGGGGTTTAACCTTTTTTAGGAAGATTTCTATCTAGCATTGGCTCGTTTGCATAACGAGCACACACGCGAATGCACAAAGAGTAGGAAACCTTCCTTTTTTTGAAGTTCATGGCATTCTTTTGACAAATAAACAGTCAGTAAAGAGAATCCATGAGCTGTTTATTTTGCCTCAGAATGCCAGGATCATCACAATATCACCCCTACGGAGTCAAAATTGTATTCCTTCCTTCACCTCAAAACTTAGCAAGAGGACTCCTAACACTCAGGAGAAACTAAGTCGATTGTACTTATTATTATCATTGCTAATATGTGCTAATATGTATGCATGGCATGTTATTGTCAAGGCAAGGACGCGGGAAGACGCTACATGGAACAATTGAATTTATCAGAAAATATGATCTTACTGATAAAAAAATAAATATACTCCTTTACATGACCAGCAGAAAATTACTTTACATTTACTTCGACAGTATATTGGAAAACAATGTGGGATTCAACAGTAATTGTTACGAAAATATGCACTTACCGTTCATAAACGCACTTAGGGTGGAATTCATGCTTGAAACAAAGGTGTCAAGGTATGTTTTCGAAGTCGACTAATGCATATAAGAAAATATAAATATGTTATGAAGTTAACAGTGTTGAACATATGAACATAGAGTGGATATATATAGTAGTTCAAGGTGCAGTCCTGGTCGGATTAGAATACTTGCGAGATCATGTGTGATATGATAGAGAAGCAATCCTAGTAGAAATAGGAGTCATTGTATGAATTGTAGTAGGAATGTTCTGCTTTGATTGACATGCAGAATCAGATAGATTACGATAGACTCCAACTGAAATTGGGTTGGAATTAAAGGATAGGCATTTTTCAAAAATTTGGTGATTATAATCATAGTTATTAGATCTGATCTGATCGTTGATTTGGATAAGTTACGGAGTCACAAGGTCAATGATTTCATTGGTGGATCAACTGATCAACCTATGAGTCATTTCTAGTTCATATAAATGAACAAATATTTTTTTTAAATGAAAAAGATGTGTGTATATATTATTTTATGTTACTACTGCACCATAAAAGATATTTAAATCATATATTTTAAAAAATTTCTATTGCAACAAATAAAAGTTATAAAATTGTATCGTTCATATATAATAAAAAACAAAATCTATATAACTATTTACTTCTATATAACCTATACACACGTTTTGCTTAAAATAAATAAATTAATTATTGACATTAATTTATATATTTATCAATTTTTTTAACTAAATCAAACCGGAGCTTAACAAGAGATTTACTATTGTTGAGAAATTCTTGCAACAGATAAAAGGAGTTAGGGCTGCACAAAAAAATCATGAAACGAAAAATCGAACTGAAAACATTGGTTTGAAACCGTTGGTTCGGGTCCATATGGACCCACGATTTTTTCCCTCAAATCGAACCAAACCGTTTCAAAATAGTTTGGTTTAGATTTCAATTTTCAAAAACCGCACAAAACAAATAAAATCGTTTTTAATTTTTAATTATAAAATTAACTTTATTAACTTATAATTTTTACAATCTTCACTTTTCAAAAAAAAAAAATAATACCAATTTAGTAATATAAGTTACAACCAGCCATTCAAATAATCATATAAAGTAAATTAAGTTCATCATTATTGGTCCATGATTTTATATGTTTACAATAAATGTCTTAACACCATATCTGAACTAAACTAAAATTATTTCCAAATCATATGAAATGAGAAAAAAAAAACTTATATTTTCAAGAATCCAAATTATAATTTAACAAAAGTACGGTAGCAAATCACATCCATAATTTCAAAAGCCCTAACATAAACTCTCATTTCTCAAACATTTGACACTTGCCGCCACTACTAAACAAAATGTGATTCTCAATCACAAATCAGTGTCGCCTTTTTCATATTAGTTTGTTAATTTTTACTTGAATTGCCTATTTCTCTCTTCTCTCTCGGTCAATCTCAAATTTCCATTCAAACCATGTTTTTCATTGTTTTTTCTTTTATTTTTTTTTGTTTTTGAACTTATTATACACTTGTGAGTTGTGGTTTTGATTTTTTTTAAAAAAAGATTGTTTGAGTGCTTAGGTGAGTAATGAAATTGTTTGTGAATTGGAAAAAACGAAAGACATAGCGAATTGATTGTGTGGAAACTATTAAAATTCCCTAACTAGTAGTACTACCTTCTACTTTTTCAAAGTAGTTAGAGAATGAAATTTGTCAATTCCCAATAAATCCGAACTCAATCATTCTTTGTACATCTAAACATATCATATTCAGTTCTTATTTTTCATTTCACTAATAGGATGAAAATGAGTTTTAACCAAACTATTACAGAATGTGACACTGCCTTTACAAACCGCTTGTGATAATATGATAGGCAAACAAGAAAAGATAAATAAAAAGGAAGAAAGAAAGATATATTTGTTCTATTAAAATCTTTTAGCAACCAACATTGAAAATAATTTATTCACGGCTTTCATGGGAAAAATGAATGTAATTTAACATTTAACATTATTAGTTATCGTCTAAACTTATATGTTAACTTGTTTTAAATATATTACTATAGTGTCGATAGGTAAACCGCGGATTAAAATCGAACCAAATCGCAAATTATGGTTTGATTTGGTTTGGTTCAAAAAATAAAATGGTTTGGTTTGAAAAAATTCCTAACCTCACAAAATGGTTTGAGTTGAAAATATAGCACAAACCGTCCAAATCGAACCGCTTTCACCCCTAAAAGAAGCGAGAGCAAATAAAAAAGTCTTTTCTTTTAAAACATTTAAGTTTACAAAAGTTATATTATTACTTTGATTTTTTTTTATTTTTTTTTTTTTTTGCTAAATTATAGAAACCTCGTAAATATAAAATTTATTTTTCAATTTTTTATCCTTTATCAATATTAAACCTATCTTATTTATTTTTTGCAGAAAGCAATTATATCTCTCTATAACTTTGTTAGAGATAAACTACAACATAGTTCAAACAACTCTACATCACACTCCTACTGTACATTAACCTCTTGTAAATTAGTTGTAGTGCATCTATACTATACAATTATAAGTCATGCAGAATTGTTCACTCGTTGAACTTGTATAGCATTTGAATTGTTTATATGTAACACAAATATTGTCAACACACGTGACGAATTGAAGTTGATCAATTATTTTTAGATTGGAAAAGTATTGGTTGTGTCTCTGCTACCTCGACCACAGATGGTACCATTGTCGTCATCTCCGTCACTACTTTCTTCGATGTCGCCTCTATCAACTCGTTATTTTCCGATCTTGTGTAATTGTCCTTTTCTTTTCGCCAGCCACGATAGGAAACAGGTTTTGAAATTTTTGTGTTGCAAAATCAAAGTCGCTTCTCCTTTGCTCAGCATGTGTAACCAGTGCCCAAAACATGACTATTTTCTCATTGTTTCCTTTTTGTTCCATTTCCTTGTAAGCTAAAAAAACCACCTATATCACCATATATTTTGTGAGGTCATGTTATCTAGAGGTGGCAATCGAACTGAGCGACTTGTCGCTCGTAAAAAAAGGGCTTACGGGCTCGTCAAAAGACGAGCCCAAACCCGAGCCGGCTCAGCTCTTTTTTTACAAGCAGCTCGTGGGTTTTTTTAATTTTTTTTTTTAAGGTTTAGAATAGATATATTTTAAAAAAAATTAAAAAATTTGAGCTCGACCCACGAGTAACGAGCCGAGCTTTAACAAGCCCGAGTCGAGCTCGTGCATATACGGCTCGGTCCATTGCCACCGCTAGGAGTCATCGATGAGACTCTTATGTTGTGGGGCACTTTAGATGAGAAAAGTACTTAAAATGTTTTTTTCTTTTCGCGACTCTTCATACCACTATAAGAATGTAGTCGGCTTGGCCCATTGCCACAGCTAGGAGTCATCGATGGGACTCCTATCTTGTGGGGCTCTTTAGATGAGAAAAATACTTAGAAGTTTTGTTTTTTCACGACCCTTCATACCACTATAAGAATGCGCCGTTTGATTAGAATATTCATGTATTATTATATTGTTTGTGGATTTATTTTATTGTTTTGGCACGAAATTCATCATTTGGAACGCTATATCCAATTAATTAATGTAGTCTATCATCATAACAATGACACTTATCTAAAATTAATAATAAGTAATCATCGTTTTTAAGTCCAAAAGTTAAGCAAGTACAATCAGCTTACTAATTTTGTATCATAGTTACTTGTCTAAGTGACACGATTATTACATTAATTGTCAAAAGAAAATTATTGTAACCTTATACTAACTAATCCATGCACACATCCCAATTTATAAACAATTTAATTTATAGATAAATAAAAATAAGTAGTGAATGTATTTGTGAATCCATTGAAATGTGTATTTTAAAATATATTTTGATTATTTATAAATCATCTATAATTTGCCTAAGATAAGTTTAACTATGCATTGTAATTAATTAGGATCCGTTTGATAAGTAAAGGTGGAAATAAATTCCAATTTCATGTTAGTTGGAAAGTAAAAACTCACCAAACTCATAGGAATTCGTTTTTCGTGAAAACAACGAAAATGCAGTTTAAAGTGGTTGTACTTTGAAATTCGATTTTCATTTTCACGTTGCAATCAAACGACCAAAGTGGAATTTGTTTTCCTCATATGACATTTTCCAAGGAAAATGTGACATCTTCTTGTCTATGAGGAATTTTCATATTGTGTAGGCATTTTTATTTTTATTTGATATTCTAAAAATAAGTCAGTTTAGTGGGTGTTTGGCTCCCATTTTTTAGGAAAAATTAGTTTTTGNAAAAAAATTAAAAAATTTGAGCTCGACCCATAAGTAAAGCTTTAACAAGCACGAGTCGAGCTCGTGCGTATACGGCTAGGCCCATTGCCACCACTAGGAGTCATCGATGGGACTCTAATGTTGTGGGGCACTTTAGATGAGAAAAGTACTTAAAATGTTTTTTTTTTTTTCATGACTCTTCATACCACTATAAGAATGTAGTCAGCTTGGCCCACTGCCACCGCTAGGAGTCCTCGATGGAACTCTTATGTTGTGGGGCACTTAAGATGAGAAAAGTACTTAAATTTTTTGTTTTTTCACGACTCTTCGTACCACTATAAGAGTGCGCCGTTTGATTAGAATATTCATGTATTATTATATTGTTTGTGGATTTATTTTATTGTTTTGGCACGAAATTCATCATTTGGAACGCTCTATCCAATTAATTAATGTAGTCTATCATCATAACAATGACACTAATCTAAAATTAATAATAAGTAATCATCGTTTAAGTCCGAAACTTAAGCAAGTACAATCAGCTTACTAATTTTATATCATAGTTACTTATCAAAGTGACACGATTATAACATTAATTGTCAAAAGACAAAATTATTGTAACCTTATACTAACTAATCCATGCACACATCCCAATTTATAAACAATTTAATTTATAGATAAATAAAAATAAGTAGTGAATGTCTTTGTGAATCCATTGAAATGTGTATTTTAAAATATATTTTGATTATTTATAAATCATCTATAATTTGCCTAAGATAAGTTTAACTGTACATTGTATTTAATTAGGATCCGTTTGATAAGTAAAGGTAGAAAGAAATTCCAATTTCATGTTAGTTGGAAAATAAAAACTCACAAAACTCATAGGAATTCGTTTTTCGTGAAAACAAAGAAAATACAGTTTAAAGTGGTTGTACTTTGAAATTTGTTTTTCATTTTCACGTTGCAATCAAAAAACGACCAAAGTGGAATTCGTTTTCCTCATATGTGACATTTTCCAAGGAAAATGTGACATCTTCTTGTCTATGAGGAATTTTCATATTGTGTAGGCATTTTTATTTTTATTTGATATTCTAAAAATAAGTCAGCTTAGTGGGTGTTTGGCTCCTATTTTTTAGGAAAAATTAGTTTTTG